AAATACTTTAAACATTCTTATTAATATTTAACTGGTACCTGGTGTCAGCTATAAAACCTAGTGCACTGAAAGGGTCAGTCGAATCAAAATTGATTTTTTTTTTTTGGTCTTGGGTCCATGGGAGTTAAATTTTCCATTACTAGTCTTCAAACATTGCAATAGTAAGATATTTTCACTTGTGTTTCTAGTTCTAACTATTTCAAAGAAGTCTAATTCCTCCAGCGGTCTTCATACCAGAAGGACTGTAGGAGGTTGGGAAAGACCATGTGTTAGGCTACGTTCACACTAGCCTTGTGTGCAGGCGGCAGAGAGGCGTTTGGGAAGCGTTTTTACCGCTTCCCAAACGCCTCTGCCAATTCTGCACATTACAGCACATGGTGCTGTTCTAACGGGAGCGTTTGCGTCGCGTCGCATTGCGTCGCGGCAAAACAGACGCCTCTGGACGAGTCAGGAGGCTTTGATGCCTCCTATTCTCGTCTATGGTGCCGCTCCGCAAAGGCCCGGCCGGCGTTTGCGGTGCGGTTTGCGACGCGGTTGCGGGGCGTTTGCGGAGCGGTAACACCACTCAAACTGCATTATAGGCGTTTGTGGGGCGTTATTAACGCTCGGCAAACGCCTAGCAATGGCCGCTAAACCGCGCATGCGGCGTTTGCGGAGCGTTTGCCGAGCGTTAATAACGCTCCGCAAACGCCGGACCAACGCTTGCCAAACGCTATAGGGGCATTTGGCAAGCGTTGGCAAAACAGCCTAGTGTGAACGAGCCCTTAGAGAACAGAAAAGAAAAGTAGCAAGAGCTTGAAATAAATACCCTTAACAAGCAAATTAAGCCAGTGGGTATATCAGCCAATTGCTATTACATAAAGAAACTATTAAACTCCTGCATTTATTTAAAACACTGTTTTATTGACCTCTAGTATTGGTTATTTAAAAAATGTTAGAATATAATATATATCTTAGACTCATAAAACTCTTACAAGATGACACAGATCTTGGATGTGTTTGGGTCTGCATGGCTATTTTCTTCTGGGTATTCATTCTCTATGCAGATGGGCTTTAATTCATGCTGTGGGTTTTTCAAAGTCAGGCTTCTGGGATGGGATATGTTCGTTCTCTCATCTATTGCTCTCTCCATCTTCTGCTGTAAAATACTTCTGGATTTAATGAGTTCCTCTGTTAGGAAAAATATGTCCTCCTCTTTTTTCACATTTTCCCTGTGAAGTGTTGCTATTTCCTCCTTTAAGTATTCAATAGTTGTCTCGGCTTCCCAAAGCTGAATGGTAAACATAACATTACGTGATAAGTTGTTAGGATGCAATAGTGCTTGCCTTTAGTTTACTCTGTTCTATATGAATTCAGAGGAAAGGCTAAAGACCCCAATCCCTGTGTGCAAAGCCTGAAAAGAGCTTACATTATTTTTACTACAAAAACCCCTAACAGACCTTCCAGCAAACAGCAGGAAAAAAGAAGGGAGGGCAAGACAAAATGTGGAACATGTGCAAACAGCTGGTGAATAATGGGTAGTTAGTAATATTTAAAAGTCTTTGACCTTATAACGGCAATGACTGTCAGCTTTAATTTGGGGATATTTACATCCAAATCAGGTGAACGGTGTAGGAATTACAACAGTTTGCATATGTGCCTCCCACTTGTTAAGGGACCAAAAGTAATGGGACAATTGGCTTCTCAGCTGTTCCATGGCCAGGTGTGTGTTATTCCCTCATTATCCCAATTACAATGAGCATATAAAAGGTCCAGAGTTCATTTCAAGTGTGCTATTTGCATTTGGAATCTGTTGCTGTCAACTCTCAAGATGAGATCCAAAGAGCTGTCACTATCAGTGAAGCAAACCATCATTAGGCTGAAAAAAACAAAACAAACCCATCAGAGAGATAGCAAAAACATTAGACGTAGCCAAAACAACTGTTTGGAACATTCTTTAAAAGAAGGAACGCACCGGTGAGCTCAGCAACACCAAAAGACCCGGAAGACCACAGAAAACAACTGTGGTGGATGACCGAAGAAACCTTTCCCTGGTGAAGAAAACACCCTTCACAACAGTTGGCCAGATCAAGAACACTCTCCAGTTGGTAGGTGTATGTGTGTCAAAGTCAACAATCAAGAGAAGACTTCACCAGAGTGAATACAGAGGGTTCACCACAAGATGGAAACTATTGGTGAGCCTCAAAAACAGGAAGGCCAGATTAGAGTTTGCCAACCGACATCTAAAAAAGCCTTCACAGTTCTAGAACAACATTCTATGGACAGATGAGACCAAGATCAACTTGTACCAGAGTGATGGGAAGAGAAGAGTATGGAGAAGGAAAGGAACTGCTCATGATCCTAAGCATACCACCTCATCAGTGAAGCATGGTGGTGGTAGTGTCATGGCGTGGGCATGTATGGCTGCCAATGGAACTGGTTCCTTTGTATTTGTTGATGATGTGACTGCTGACAAAAGCAGCAGGATGAATTCTGAAGTGTTTTGGGCAATATTATCTGCTCATATTCAGCCAAATGCTTCAGAACTCATTGGACGCCGCTTCACAGTGCAGATGGACAATGACCCATAGCATACTGCAAAGCAGCCAAAGAGTTTTTTAAGGGAAAGAAGTGGAATGTTATGCAATGGTCAAGTCAATCCCCTGACCTGAATCCGATTGAGCACGCATTTCATTTGCTGAAGACAAAACTGAAGGGAAAATGCCCCAAGAACAAGCAGGAACTGAAGACCGTTGCAGTAGAGGCCTGCAGAGCATCACCAGGGATGAAACCCAGCGTCTGGTGATGTCTATGCGTTCCAGACTTCAGGCTGTAATTGACTGCAAAGGATTTGCAACCAAGTATTAAAAAGTGAAAGTTTGATTTATGATGATTATTCTGTCCCATTACTTTTGGTCCCTTAACAAGTGGGAGGCACATATGCAAACTGTTGTAATTCCTACACCGTTCACCTGATTTGGATGTAAATACCCTCAAATTAAAGCTGACAGTCTGCAGTTAAAGCACATCTTGTTCGTTTCATTTCAAATCCATTGTGGTGGTGTATAGAGCCAAAAATGTTAGAATTGTGTCGATGTCCCAATATTTATGGACCTGACTGTGTGTATGTGTATATATATATATATATATATATATATATATACACACCTCAAAAAGAATTAAAGGAACACTTTTTAATCAGAGTATAGTATCAAGTCAATTAAACTCCTGGTATATTAATTAGGTTAGTTAAGTAGCAGAGGGGGTTGTTAATTAGTTTCAGCTGCTTTGGTGTTAATGAAATTAACAACAGGTGCACTAGATGGGCAACAGTGAAATGATCCTCAAAACAGGAATGGATTAAAGGTGGAGGCCACTGTAATTTTTTTCTCTACTCATCTTTTCTGACTGTTTTTCACTAGTTTTGCATTTGGCTAGGATCAGTGTCACTACTGGTAGCATGAGGCGATACCTGGACTATACAGAGGTTGCACAGGCAATCCAACTCCTCCAGGATGGCACATCAATACGTGCCATTGCCAGAAGGTTTGCTGTGTCTCACAGCACAATCTCAAGAGCATGGAGGAGATACCAGGAGACTGGCAGTTATTCTAGGAGAGCTGGACAGGACTAAAGAAGGTCCTTAACTCATCAGCAGAACTGGTATCTACTTCTTTGTGCAAGGAGGAACAGGATGAGCACTGCCAGAGCCCTACAAAATGACCTCCAGTAGGCCACTGGTGTGAATGTCTCTGACCAAACAATCAGAAACTGACTTCATGAGGGTGGCCTGAGGGCCCAACGTCCTCTAGTGGGCCTTGTGCTCACTGCCGGCACAATAGAGCTAGATTGGCATTTGCCATTGAACGCCAGAATTGGCAGGTCTGCCGTGAGCGCCCTGTGCTTTTCACAAATGAGAGCAGGTTCACCCTGAGCACATGTGACAGATGTGAAAGGGTCTAGAGAAGCCGTGGAGAACATTATGCTACCTATAACATTGTTCAGCATGACCATTTTGGTGGGGGGTCAGTGATGGTCTGGGGAGGCATATCCATGGAGGGACACACAGACCTCTACAGGCTAGACAATGGCACCCTGACTGCCATTAGGTATGGGGATAAAATCCTTGGACCCATTGTCAGACCCTATGCTGGTGCAGTGGGTCCTGGGTTCCTCCTGGGGCATGGCAATGCCCAGCCTCATGTGCCGAGAGTATGCAGGCAGTTCCTGGAGAATGAAGGAATTTATACCGTTGAAAGAAGCTCAATGATGCCCTGATCCAGATCTGGAAGGAAATATCCCAGGATACCACCTGTTGTCTCATTAGGAGCATGCCTCGACATTGATAGGCATGCATACAAGCACATGAGAGCCATACAAACCATTTTGAGTTGCTGCAATGAAATTTCAGAAAAATGGACTAGCCTGCTGCATCATTTTTTCACTTTGATTTTTGGGGTGTCTTTGAATTCAGTCCTCTGTAGGTTGATAATTTTTATTTCCGTGAAATGATGGGGCATCCTTACGTTCCTAACACACTACCCAGTTCATATCAGTATAGATATCCAGCATGTTTTTTTCCCCACTGAGATCTGATGTGTTTTCAAAGTGTTCCTTTAATCATTTTGAGCAGTATGTGTGTGTGTGTATGTATGTATATATATATATATATATATATTGCCAAAAGTATTGGGACACCTGCCTTTACACGCACATGTTTACATACCGATCCAACTATGAAATCGTGCGACTTGCAAGACATCTGCGGCTATCAAGACACAGAGGTCTATGTATGTCGCATCTAAAGTTGTGCATGCACTACTTTAGAAATCAGTTTGGTTCCAACCAATTCAAAATCGCACCGATATGACTGCTGTAATTGTGGATGATAGGGTGCAACTTGCCATGCGATTTGCAAGTCATATGACATGGCATGGCAAATCGCATGCCAAGTCGTACCCTGTATGTCCAGGGTCTTAATAGTATTCCAGTCTTAGTCCGTAGGGTTCAATACTGAGTTGACCCACCCTTTGAAGCTATAACAGCTTCAACTCTTCTAGGAAAGCTGTCCACAAGGTTTAGGAGTGTGTCTATGAAAATGTTTGACCATTCTTCCAGAAGCACATTTGTGAGGTCAGGCACTGATGTCGGACGAGAAACCCATTCCATGATGCCCTCTACGCACTGTTGTGCTAATCTGAAGGCCACAACTGTTGTTCCCAGTTGCTTCCACTTTGTTATAAATCCACTAACAGCTGACCGTGGAATATTTAGTAGCAAAGAAATTTCACAGATGGACTTATTGCACAGGTGGCAACCTATCACGGTACCATGCTTAAATTCAATGAGCTCCTCAGAGCAATCCATTCTTTCACAAATGATTGTAGAAGCAATTTGCATGCCTAGGTGCTTGATTTTATACACCCGTGGCCATAGAGGTGATTGGAACACCTGAATCCAATGATTTCGAGGTTTCGAGGGGTGTCCCAATACTTTTGGCTATATATATATATATATATATATATATATATATATATATATATTCATCATTTCATCTTCTAGTCATGTGGATTGGAAGCATAAAACATATCCATTAACATTTACATGGAGGTTAACTACCCACCCTGGTTGGCTTAGTCAATCTGGGTTGTAGTTCAAAAGCTGGGGAACTCTCAATAGGAGAGAATTTTGATCAGTAGGACCCATTCAGCTACTGTATATGCTCAGACGGTGCTACACTCACAGAACAGCACAAAAAGTAAACATAACATGGAAAATGTTGCAATCCATAACAATCAGTCAGGTTTCGGTTCACTGTAGTAAAAGATTTCTGAGTGACTGCAATGGATTAAAGAACTCTATATAGCATATATTGCCCTACTGAATAAGTTCCTTTCCTTTTACCTTAACTGATGCTAGCTGATGAATCTTGCATGACTGATGTGGAGTATGGGATGATTTAGAAACTCATAACACTTACTCTGTGACTCAATTTAATGGAGCCAACTCGCAGCGCTTCCATTTGCTCCAGCTTGTGGTGACATTGAGTAAGAAGGTCAATCAGAAATAAATGATGGGCTTCTTCATCATTGTTGGTTTCTTCCACTGTAGACTCTGGGAACTTGGAATCACTTTCATCAGAGCTAGAAGACGAGTCATTATTGCATTCCAATCCTGGTTTATCCAGAGCAAGTTGGTGACTGTTGTATTTCAGCTTCAGATCAAGTAGTCTGAGATTCTTCAGAGTCTTCTTAAGTGGGAGATAAATTCGGGTATTACTATGTGATGGTTTCATCTCTTCTGGGAGATGTGAAATTGTATGATCAACATCTAACTGTGTGTCATTTAAATGTGATGAAAGCTCTTCCTCACACTGAAGCTCTCCTCCACCACCAGTCCAATAAGTGGCAGTCTTTTCATTACACATTTTGGGTTCTTCAATGGAATATTTGTTTTGTTCCTCATCTATCCTTCCTGTGTTCACACAGATATTTTCAGAAATTACAAAGTCTTCCCCTGTAGTATCAAGATTCATCATCTCCCTCATCTTCAATTCAAGTGAACTTTCCAAAATTTGACTTTCTTCAGTCTGAAAACCTTGACTTTCAACTTCCTGGTCAGTAACTACTTCATCATCTTCTATGACGAGTTGTGGGGGGCTGTTTCCATGTATTAACACATCCTCATTCTCGTGACACTCTGAGCTCCCATCCCACGGCACAAGAGAGCTTTCCATCTGGATAAAGTTTATTTGCTAACCTGGAAAACAAAAAACTGAATAAAAATGTATGAAAAACCAAACAGTGCAACGCTACTAAATTAGTGAAACATCCTTACTACATGAAATATACCACAAATGGCAAATTGTTTTACATAAAACGGAATCCCATATGTGTCTTTGACAAAAAAGTACATAAAGTTAATATTGTATAAAATAAGCAATAGTGAAAAAATAAAAAATCAATTGTAAATAAACTCCATATCCACAGAAGAATGTGTACAGCTACACCCCAATCCCCAATAAATAAAGGGATAGTAAGAAAGTTCAAGAGATCAGAGATTATTTTCTAGGGATTCAACCAGGGTGTACAATGAAGGTAAGATCAGGAAGCCTCCAAATCCCAAGCAGACCAGCACAACACACCATGAGTCTACAATATTGAACTTTTTTACAATATTCTAATTTTGTGAGATACTGAATTTTGGGTTTTCACTAGCTGTAAGCCATAGTCATCAAAATTAAAAGAGTGAAATGCTTGAAATATATAACTGTGTGTGTAATGAATCTATATAATATATGAGTTTCACTTTTTGACTTGAATTACTGAAATAAATAAACTTTTTAATGATATTCTAATTTATTGAGATGCACCTGGTAGTTCTGCTCATATTTATTAGCAGCACATACATGGATGCACTTCATTAGTGGTAAGTTATGTAACTTGAACTTTTTACAGCTCTACCAGCTGTTCTCTATTATTTTATTTGTTTCAGGTACTTATATAGCGCTGTCAATTTAGGCAGCGCTTTACATATATGTTGTACATTCACATCAGTCCCTAACCCTGAAGGGGTGTACAATCTAAAGTCTCTAACTCACATTCATACATACACATACTAGGGACAATTTACACAGGATCCAATTAACCTATCAGCATGTCTTTGGAGTGTTGGAGGAAACCGAAGTACCCACACAGGCACGGGGAGAACATGCAAACTCCAGGCAGGTAGTGCTGTGGTTGGGATTCAAACCAACGACCCTAGTACTGCCAGGCGGAAGTGCTAACCACTAAGCCACTGTGCCGCCTCTACTGTGGGCATTGCAATATGGGTTGTCATTCTTAATAATAAATTCATTAATTAATTTATATATTGTATGTGAAGATTGCAGCAGAAGTGAGCCTCTGTTCACACCTGCATTTTTTTGCACTTTTTTGTGTTTTCCCTGTATTGAAATGTTTTTACAGGTGTATTTGTATGCATTATTAAGTTTTGTTTTGGCCAGCAGAAGCAAAATAAAGTATCGGTTATTAGGGGATGGAGGCCAGAAACAAAAAAAATGCTTATTTTTTCAGAGTTTTTTTTTTTGTGCATTCCCATTGAAGTCTATGGGGCCAAAGATACACCAAAGGCACCATTAACAATGGCACACCAATGCACCTTGCTAACACATGTAAGAATGTGTACACCAAAGCACATGTTTTTTTTTGGGTGGTGTCATTTAATAATAAAAGTCTTTGTACTTTTTTGCTATTATTACATGCAGGGCAGCCTATTGAAATTAGTAGACTGCCCTAACTGTGATTCACCAAAACTTGCAAAAACAGCTCATGGTCACACCAGCATAAGTGTGAATGGAATCATAGGAAATAATGGGATTCCTCCTGTTGTGCATTATTGTGCAATGGTCAAAATGCTTTAGATCACACAGGTGTAATTGTGGCCTAAAACTCTCTCCCTTCACTCTGTACTAAATTATGCAGGAAAACATAGAAACATCAGCAGCTTTTCCTGGACTGGACCTTTACCAAAATTATTTGTGAGTGAATGTCGGTAATTGGGAGACAGCAGGTATATCAGAAACTTGGTTGAGCTCTATATCAATGGCATCCATTGAGGTATGTAAATTATAGTTCATATTAAGGCGGTGAGTTTTCACTTGTATCTATATCACAATCATTTAACAATAAAAAGAGACTTACTTGAAATGTCCTGTACAATGTCTGCAGTGAAGGTGCTGTCAGGGCCTCCTGGCCATCTGTTCTCTTGTAGCTCCACAATGGTGATGTGAGGGAGCCTCTCACATAACACCGATCACCTTACACTTTCTACATTCTGAAAACAGAGACATCACATGAAGCGACCCAGAAAACATTAACTCTTTCACCTCTAAACACAATCAAATAACAATGAGAAAAAAATAAATGCATTTATGTCACAATCATGGTATGATGCAGAGTAATTCAATATGTTGGAAGTAAGTCACGCTAAAGTAGAATTATAGGCAATTTTTATCATTTTGGATAGAATGATGGAGGGTTTTTTGCCATCTGTCTCCTACTGGGGAAATTTTCCTTCACTTCCTTTCACAGGGTGCGGACCTGTTAGCGGGGACGCGGGACGGAAGGGGGGGGGCCAGGAGAGAGTACCATCCATTTCCATTTTGTTCCCATTCCATTTTCATTTGACTGCCATCCGATCCGATGGACAGAAGGGGAACGTATCCCCAACGGTCTCTTTTTGGAAGATCGGATGTAGGCAGGTGTAAATGGACACATGTCCATTTACACCTGCCACTCCATAGAGGAAAATAGAGGTTTCAATTGGGTCCGCCTGAAGAATGGGCAGGCAGACCCAGTCGGAGTGTCTGTGTGAAAGGGGCTGAAGTGAGAGGAAATCCCTTCAAAGTGAGGGAATCCCTCTATATGAAGAAACAAAAAGAGGGCGAACGAGCCTAGTGCATTACCTTTTAAAATGAGATTTTTTGATAAAAAGTAAAATACTCAAAAGAATAAAATCAAATGAAGGGCATGTCACAAGAAATGCAGCGTGGTCCAATCACCCTGAAGGATGTCTGGTGGGGGACTGTAGACCTCTAGGTGGCTGTTTTTTACTGATGTGTTTCGAGGCTGTGCCTCTTCCTCAGAGCCAATCCCTCTATTCCTGTTCTGGTAACAACCAAATATTTTGGATTTTCCTTCACTCTCAGTAATAATGGTAAACAGGACAAACAGAAAAATCTGAATCTCCCCAATGGGGCACAGACAGAAATAATACCCTGCCAGGTGTTCTAATGCTTCTCCAACTTTATCTTAAACTAAAAAAATTGTTTTTGTATTCAGTTACACTTTAAACCATTTTACTCACTGGCTTTTTCTGGGTGCATGGTCTTCAGACATCTTGATTGGCCAATGATGTAACTCCAACGCATGTGCACAGAGAAATTAATATTCAGGGGTGTACCTACAGGTTTGCCTGTGCAACTGCTCTGTGCACCTGGATAGAAGGAGGACTGCATATAGAGGATTCGATCTCCATGTTCCTCCCTGCAGTTGCTGAATGCCTGCAGGGTGGAGAGGAGGAGAAGTGTGCATTCAGCGGCTGCAGGAGGAACATGGAGAGATTGGTTTCTCTGTATGCATGCGCCCCTTCCGCTCATCCTATTCAGCATTTTTCTGCTGCCCCCCATGTGCTCTAGTAATGGCGGCGACTTATAGCGGAACTGTGGGACTGCGGGCCTACGGTGGGCATTCTGACACTGGGGGGGAACCGACTAACTGCCACTGACATCCCAATGACACTAATACAGTGATCAGTGCAAATAAAAAGCACTGACACTGTACTAATGACACTGGGCAGGAAGGGGGTTAACATCTTAGGCGATCAAAGGGTTAACTGTGTGCTGTTTTACTTAATGTGCTGTGTGTGTTTTACTATTGAAACATGCTGCTGTGTATTTCTCTGCTGTGCA